ACTGGCAACAAGTTATTTTTGTTTATTCGAATGATTTGTGAATTTGTGGTTAAAGAAATTCCTAACTCGTCTTTAATTTATGTTTAAGCAGCTTGAATAAATAATAAATTTATTAAATTTATGAAGATTCTTAATAATAATATATTTATTGGTCAACCTTTTGACTCAATGTACATATCTTCTAGGAAAGGAAAGAATATTCAGTAAATAAAATTGTTAAAATTATTTAACAGCTTTTTAAAATGTTATAAAAATCATAAGTACAACCCGCAGAACAGCTTAGTTCTAGGCTGTATAAATTTATTTCTTTAAAAAAGAAAGAAAACTTTCCTTAAAGCCACTTAAATAATTTCTGTAATCTCTTTTGGTTGGAAAAACACTGAGGAATTGCAATTACCTGTCAATCGGGGAATGGAGTAAGAATTGTTCAGTTATCGAATAGGCTAAGCAAATGCAAATTAAAAATCTGAGAAAGCTTAACTATTGCTGTTTAGTTACTGTCTAGTTCCCATCAAACTTACGGGATATATTTTCGCATGGCCATGTGGAATTTTTCTAACGACTCTCTTAGGCGTTTTGTAACAACGCATTTTAAATGCCATTCGATTTTTATGGATTCACAGACGCATCCCAGACACTTTTCCTATCCTTTACTAGACTCCCAATGACAACCTCTGGCAACCTCTGTTGAACCCCTCAAAGGCTCAAAAGTTTACACATAAAAGTAAAAGCTTATGCCAACGGGCAACGGCCAACGACCAACAAAACCATGTTGGGTCAAGAAAATCCAATACATGGCACTCTGAAATCTATGCAAATGGAGAGACCTCCGGTAGGAAAATATTTACCTAATTACCAGGCAAAACGGATGGAAACATATATTTGCACGTCGAGGGGGGAAAAAAGGTTGACAACCAAGCTAGCCAAGCTAAACGCTACGAAACTCCAGTCAACTCAGACGGTAGACATATGCGAAAATTGACAGCTAACAGCGGAAAAACAACAAAAGACAACGACGACTTTAGAGTGTTAAAAACAAAAAGTTTCCACTAAAAAGACGCAACAGTAGTGACTGCCAATTTGAAGGTGTAATGGAAATGGAACTCTGGTTATTGGTTATATTGGTACAGCTGCCCTCTGGTATACCCCTCGTAAGATATTATACTCCTATCTTAATGGTATACTCGTATATATGGTAACTGAGAGGACTGTCAAGTCATGCGACGCGTTGTTTACGCGGCATAATGAGTTATTAGAAAACGTTTAATAATTTGCATAAATCAACAGGCAACGCGATAAACTTGTACTGAAAATATGAAAATACATATAGAGTTGGGGAAAAAATGGAAAAAACGTACATTAAATACGCACGGAATTTGACAAAAACAAGTGGAGATTGGGGTTAGTCCATTCGAATGGGAAATACTCTTAAGTTGGGTTTATTAAATTGGAAAAAAAATTTGTATTTATTTATATATGATTTGTATATTTATTGCTTTTATTAGGGGAATACTTTTTGCAAGGATAATTTCCAGAAGTAAAAACGAAATCCCCCATTAAAGGGGGAGTAAGGTTAGAGCCCTGGAAAGTATCTCGAAAAGTCTCCTCTATATAACCTTCTTTTCCCAACACCATATGATATCATAAAAACTAGTTTCTGATTAGAGTATATTAGGTTACCCTACTAGTTCGTGATCTTGCTCCCAGTTTATTTCAACGTTTTTTGGCTTTTTTAACCTCCTATTAAACGACGTTGACATTTTTGGTACGCGCAATTGCAAAAACCCGGCAAAATATAATGTAAAAATGATTGGACTAACCCAAGGAATTTGTTGGGTAAATAAATAGCAAAGCGTTTTGTATGCTGTCCATGATAAGTATCATTGCTTTTCGTATTTTTTATTAATAACTCTGTTTTTGCTTTATTTTTATGCCGGATTTCGGGTTCAGAGTCCACTTTGGAAGTATGAATAAGAGAGTAAAAGTTTAATTATTTGGCAAATTTACAAGATTAGATAGGCCCGAGACATAATTAACTGGGTATATTCCCAGGAAATATACTAGAGATCAGAAATTCCAGGTTTTTGTTTATAAAAGAGGAAAGTTGAGGAAACCAAATTCCATTGTTATCGCCGTCGTCTATCTGTGGTCATAAAACCAAACCCGAATGACTATTCAAATATGATTTATTTTATGTCAACCACTTTTGATCATAAATATTATCTATTTTTAGCTACCGCAGTAAATGCACAAAAACAACTTATTTTTAACAGTAAAATAATTGAATTATAAAATTTTTTTGTTAACTTAATTGTTTGTTTGGGGAATAAAGAAAGTTAAAAATATATCTTTGTTATGTTCGCCTTGGAAAAGGTTTTATACTTCTAAATTTTTAATCAGGAAAAGGTTTATTAAACTTAATATATTTTTAGCAATATAATAAAACAAATTTTTATTATCTCTTCATCTTTATAAAATCTATCTTATCTGCTTAGCACTTCTTGTTATTTATTTAATTAATTATTTTATAATTTCTGGTGTCTGGCTTGTGGCCATTTCTTTGATTGGCCAAAAGAGAATCTTTGGAATTCCCGGACTATCTCATCTCCATCGCCATCTCATCTGTTCCCTGGCTAAGATAGGTTTTTAACAAGGTGCGATAAACAACAAATTAATGCCCTGGCACGATGACAGCACCGCACAGTGAGCGCCAGAATTAAATTCCACATTGGGCTCGACGGGCGCCAATGAAAATGCAAAAGGGTTTCCTTTTCCTTTTCCTTAACCTGGGGAACAATTCATAATTGTCATTTATTTATTGCTCAGATATTGCGAGCTTGATTTTACGGGCGCTTATTAAAATGAATTTTTCAACACACACACACGAGGAGGGATCGTCGGCGGAGCCTGGATACGATGGCCATCTGATAGGCCATTTGATCGAAAGCTTCGATATGTGAGTTGGCTATCTTCCCTCTCGCCCGGCCCCCTGTCGCCCTCTCTTTCTCTTACGCTTCTGCGACGGCGTGTTTTTATTACAAGCGAGCGCCACCCGCTGCGCAGGCGTGTAACTTCTTTTTTGTTTTTTTGTTTTTGTTTTTGTTTTTACGATGCTGTTTTTGCCGTTCGCCTTCTGCTGCGTTGTCCTTCGGATCGCTTTGTCTTTTGTCTAGAGCGGGTGGCTATCGCTATCCCTTTCTACAGGGTTAACTATGGTCTGCTCTGTCAAGCTGTGCAGTGAGAAAAATACTGTTCAAGTTTTGGAACTAAGTCCCAAAATGTTAAGACTTTACCACAAAGCAGTCCCTTCTAAAATCAAAGTTTGCCAACCATTTTATTATCTTAAAGAAATCTTAGTATTACCTAAGAGACTTAATGTTTTTCTCTCAGTGTAACCCTTTTTGCAATTTGTTACTCCTGGCGTGTTCACACCATTAAAGATGGCCCATAGAGAAGCTGTTTTGTTCCGTGGCGTTCAAATTAATAGGCCCGAGCCCGTAAGGATCTATGATTAATGAAGCGCGACTATCGCTGCCTTAATGCTGTCAATATATCACAATATGCACAAAACACTCGACTCAGCTAACCGATTACCGACCGACCCCTGATCACATAAGGTGTCTATAAACCCAATACCAATCCCAATCTCGATGATATTGCGTGAGCCGGGCATCGCGTGAGTAATCATCCGCATGTGGGAAATGATGATCTCTACTCCATCCACAAAGATCCTTACCAAAAAAATAAAACCCAAAACGTGCGTCCAATGCCAACCGCTTGACTCATTGCCACTTTGCAACATGTTGCTCGGTTCATGCAACATTCATTGCGTTGGCCAACTCAAACCTGTTGTTGTTTCTTTAATGGCTTTTCCCTGTGTTTGTTAAGCAATTATCGCATGCGAGAGTGGCCAAAATTAACAATGAGAAACGGGAGCTCAATCAACCCCCAGAGATGGAATTAGGGTTACCAGCTTTGCTGATTTCAAATTTTTGTAGTTCGTTATTTTTGAAGAAAAAATTGAGTTTTAAAGATATTAAGCTTGTTCTCAGGGTTCATATTTATACGTATATATTTTGAGATCTCTTGAAAATTAACAAATTTCCCTAATCTCAGCTGTTAACAAATTTATAAAATCCATTAAGCCTTCTAAATATCCTTCCAAGCTTTCGAAAGCTTTTTTGTCTAATAAATGGTCACTCCGAAAACTTAAAACCACCAAACAAATGTTTGCTGGTCAGTTTAAAATCAACCCTTGTACTAGAGTATCCGCTCTCGATTTTGCAACTTAAGAGCAGCAGTAAGAAAGCACAAAATCGCATGCAATTTAGTGGCATAAACCGTTAGGCGTTCGTTGGCTCTCTCCTTTTCTCTTTCACTCTGTTTGGCTTCCGCAAAACTTGAAAGAGCGAAAAGTTTTCTCTTGTTTTATGGCGAAAAAGTGGCCGCAGCGCAGTCAACGTCGCTGCTCAAAGCTCCTGTTGCAATCAACTCGCTCTCATTGCGGTTGTTGTTGTTGTTGTTTTTCTTCCTCCTTCCCTGTCACTTCCTCCTCTGCTTATGCTTCTTCTTGGGCTTCTTCTTCTTCTTCTTATTAGCCTCAAGTGGTGAGCATACACCCCGCCACGCCCCCTTTCCCAGGAACTATTAAAAAACTGGCCGGTCTCAAAGTCTCCCGAGTATTTGTTCCAATAAGAAAAGCCACTGCTCTGCTTCAGTCAACGCAGTCAAAAGCAGCGACGCTGACAGCGACAGCGACCGAGACTGCAGCCGAGGCAGCGGAATATTGTTGGCCAGTTTCGCATCGCATTTAGTTGGGTTCGCAACAACAAAACATAACAAACCGCAGTCGCGAATCGGTTCGAAATCTGAATCGGAATCCATTTAAAATCGAAATAATAACTAACATAACTCGAGTTTAATTAAACAATAACATTAATAAATTAAAATAAATACAGTGCATATTACAAAACTAAAATATTAAATTGAAATATTAAAAACATAAACAAAAACTAAGTTTAGTGTTTGTGAGCTTAACACCTTGTTTTGGCCACCCTTGGAGTTTTTTCGCTTCGTTTGCTTTTCTGCGGTCAACTTGACTAAGGAAAAACCTTTTCCCTGCGTTCATTTGAGCTTTTTAAGCCGTTTAGGCAGGATCTCAAGGATAGACGAAAAACGAACCCCTTTTTGGCTTAGCTGCCAGGACTTAAAGTATGGTTTGCCACTTGAAACTTTCGGGGGATGGTCAAGTGATTCATAAATAGGTGGAAAAGTTATGGCCACAGTGAGCACTAAGGCTAGTGAACTAGAACGTAAGCTGATGAAGTAGATTTTGTTATTGAAATGTTTTGTAATATTAAAAAGTTGAAAATCAAACTATTAAAATAAAAACCTAAACTTCTAGAAAGCTTAAAAAAGTTCAAAATTTTGGCACATTCACATTATAGCTATATAATGTTACGGTCTTTGGAAACTCTATTAAAAAATAGGTTTTTAAAACTATTAAAAAGAGAGAAAGTAGAGATTCTACATCTTTCAACTAAAGTTCTTAATTTGTAGTTAAAACGAGTCTCTATCTAGAAAAACTGTTTTCTGGAGACTATTTCTGAGTAAATTGAATCTTTATTAAGCGGGAACTACTTTTGCTGTTTTTTTTCAACACAGTTGCACTTTTAGGCTTAAATGTTACAAAAAAAGATCAATTTATTTATTTTAAAATAAATTAAAATATCTTAAGAGTATCATCATCTGATCTCTGATACTCAGCGGAATTTTTCAAAATTCCAAACTCTTTATTCGCTGCTTAAATCAGGCCTTAGATTTCGTATCCCCTTCGCAGGACACACACGTGTTGTTGGCTTTCTCTTAGACCCTCTCTTTGCGCAGCGGCGCATCTGAAGCTCTCCCTTTTGACCGGCTCTCCATCTCTACGATACTCTCGGCTTCTCCATTTCTCTCAGTGTCGCTCTCCACTGTAAAACTGCTTGTTCTTCCACGTAGTTTTGACACTTGTGACATTTTTGACACACAAATCAATTGTTACGTGAATTTTCAGCGCTGCAGCAGCAGAGGCAGCAGCGCCCAGCGACATCGGGTAAACGCTCATAAAATCGGGTAAAAAATTTCTACAAAAAAATTCTATAATTTTTTTCAACAATTGCAAAGAAGACTAAGCGAAATCTTGTTAACCGGAAAAGTGTAATTTTCGCGGTGTATTCGTTCTGAAATCGTTGCCTACTTTCGTGCGCTGCGTGTGTGTGACATAATTTGCTGTTTCAACGAGAACTTTAATTTAAGGATTCCCCCAAAACAGAAGAGCCTCACTATCGTGACCTCAGAGTGCATAACACACACCACTCGACCGAACCTCCCCCTTTTCGGGGGCCTTCTTTCTGCTGCAAATCGATTTCTGTTTCCGGCATTTTTCACGTGGCTGCTGCTGTCCCCCTTCACTGAGCGAAAACTTGCCTTGTTTTTGGGGAAAAGTAGTTTGTGGATTTCGGTTTTAGATTATAAAACATGAAAATTAATTTGTCTTGCAAAAATATTGACCAAATATGTCGAATGGCATAAACGATTTTCTATTGGAAACTATTTCGAAATCGAATTTAAAAAAAATTAAAAAAAAATTATAAATCAAAGTAATATAAAAATATTTATATTCTTTTTTAATTTTGTAAATTTAGAATATTTTTCTATATATTAGTATCAAATATTTGTCATTTCAGTCAGTCATAGAGATATAAAATTTCATTTTAATTCCAAGAATTTAGTTTAATTTTTGGGAAACTTTTTTCTCAGTGCTCGCATCGTCTGTTTCGTGCAGTTTTGGCATTTTGCTGCCGTTCTGGCTTTCCCGCTGCTGCTGCTGCTGTTGTTGTTGTTCTTGTTGTTGTTCTTGTTGTTGCCGCCTAACGATTTTTCCCGCAAACAACACGGCAAAGTGAAACGTGTCAGGCCAGAGGAAAAGCCAAAATGAAAAGCCCAATGGGTGGCGAGAGAAACGAGAGAACATTAACAGCAAGGTGGCCGTAAATCGCGAATCGTAAACAGTTTTTGGGCAATGCGGGGAACCAGCTGAAAGTAACAGTCAGCCTGGTTTATCGGAATCGTTTTTGATTTCCTGCCTTTGGCCTGTTTTCCGTAGTTTCCCTCAGTTACCTCCGACCACCATTTTCCGTACTCTGCTCTGCTTCTTGCCACTTCCATTCGCTTTTGGGGGTTTTCCTCGTTTCGTTTGGTTTCGGTTTCGGTTTCAATTTCAGTCAGTCAGTCAGCTGCTGCTTTTCACGTGGCACGTGTCGTATGAGTAATATTTTTTCAACTACCCTTCATTTTTTTGGTCGCTTCTTGCAGTCGCCTCTTCACTCAGAAAATAACAATAATCAAAGACTGTTTTAATATCAACTGAAAAAACAACAAAATTAAATAAAGTGCTTAAATCAATCGCAATTGCAAAGTGTTCAAAATTCTTAAGCCTAATTACTAAAAAAAAGTATCAAAAATATTTAACGGAAAAAGACATTGTCAAATTGGCCCCCAAATCGATTCACCGAAATCGCATTCTAAATGTTCGACTGGATTGAATTTAACAGAGAAGCGTAGACGAAATACGAATGCAAATTAGATGCAAAATAAATGGGTAAAATGAGGTCAAGTAAATACGATGTAAGTATGCAATTTTAAAATATAAAATTAATACACATGAAGTTGTGCAAGATATTAATAAGTTAAGGTATAAGAGTTAAGTATTTGTTAAACCTTTAATAAAAGTTTGTATTTAAGAACTTTCCTTTCACTTTCTATATAATAAATTATAATATTAATTAAGCCAGAACTGACTTTCACTTACTCTCCCATCGAAATTGCCCATCAATCTTAACCTCTCAGTTCGCAATTACCAACCAACCAATGGCCAAAAACCAATTGAAGGTTATGCCATCGCATCCAGACTCCAGCCAGGTGGTGAACTCAAAGCTGGTCAGCGAACCAAAAATTTACATAATCACTTAACTCATGGCCCACATTTCAGGTGATTATCATCGGGTCGGTGGAGAAACAATGGCCTGGCCAAAGATCTGAACATAAATTAAGTCCAGAAACGGAAAACGGACGAGCTGTCTGCCCTTAATCTTGAATTACAAATCGAGTGCAATTATCCGACGGGACGGCTGCAATGAGTCTCTATCTCTCTCTCTCCTAAAGGTGTTCTTGGTTCAGGTTTGGGTGCCCATTCCCAATCCCAAATCCCCTTTGGTGGGGGGGCCTCTTGGCAATTTGTTTTCACACTTTACGATTTGCATGGCCGGATCAATGTTTTCGATAAGCGTCGACAAGGTTTCATTTGGGAGTAGGAACGGAAAGGAACCTGGTTCTTGGCCTGGTAGACCCATTCTCTAGCCCGGTAGCCCCACTTCCAGTTCCACAAACACATCTACTGACATTTGCGTGCAGAGTTTTGCCTCTTTGGCGCTACTGTGTGCGCCTTTAAATTTCGCATTTAATTGATTTGTCAACACAGATGTCCGTCGCGGCTTCCTGGGCCAACTAAGCTGCTTATTCGACTACCAGCCGATTTGGCCTAAACACACGATTTATGCCGGCATAAATTGCCGACTTTAGTCTTTGACTGGAAATCGAAAGTCGAGAGTGCTGGCCGATGGCCAAAAGATATGTTACCTCAAAGAAGACTTCAAAGGCGCATCGGGCCCATTGCTAACTGCAATCATCAATCAAATAATAATAAAAAGCCGAGGGAAATGTGTATCTTTGTATCTTTGGTCATTCAGGCGGTTAAAAGTTGCAAACTCATTCGAATCCAGAACTTCAGGTTGCTTCTGTGTGGGCGATTCTTACGTGCCTGGACTCTTGATTCTCAATAGGATGCAGTCTTATGGGGAGTCCAGTGGGGATTGGCACAGTGGCAAAAGGGTTTTCATAATGTTTGGAGGATAATGATTTATGGGGAGATCTAAGGGAAATTAATTACTTTTACGGGCTTTATGGCTAAAAAAGTTAGTTTAAATGTTAAAAACTGATTCCTTTTAAAGTCAACTATCAGAGGTTTGAGTTTGATTTGGCAATTTTCGGCAATGTTGAGTCTGTTTTAGTATAAGAATAGTACATTTTATTATTTAATCTTTTAAAACTAGTTAAAAGTTAGTTTTTTATTTCAATCCCAAAGTTTGCGCCACTGTATTGTGCCGCATTGTCTCCTGACAATTGGCGACATTCTTGATTTCTGATTTTTTTATTTTTAGGTAGCGCCAGTGCGCCCTCCCTGAATCTGAATTATGTTGTCATGTCCCCCGGCTCTTTGTCTTTTGCCTTTGCTCCGTTTGGCTTTGTCTTTTGGCTTTGTCAGTTGGCTTTTCGTTTTTTTTTCTGGCTCTCTCTCAGGCTTTCTGTCTTGCTGGCTTTCTGCAAAATGCGAACACGCGCCCCAGCACGTGGGCGGAAAATGTCTGCCGCCGTTTCTGTTTTTTTTTTCGCTTTTTTTGGGTGGGGGAGCTCCATCTGTTCGGCGCTTATTAATTGTGTGCGAATGTTTGCACAATTTGTCAATATTATCGCACAAAACATGACCATTGGCAACCGCCCCCGCTATACCCCCTTCCCGTGCCCCTTAACATCTTGTTCAGCTACCAAAAAGAGTTTGCCTAAGTGATTTGTGATTTATGAGTTCACTCGATTTTCGCTTGCATATTTAATGGGATGTGGCGGGTGCGGTTGTCACCTATTTTTCTACACAGAAAGATAATTGGATATACTTTTTAAAACTATTAAAAGATAGTACTAAGATGATAGTATTTTATAAATGGTATGTTTATGAGAGGTTATTACTATTGCTAAGATCCTACTAAAAAGTAAGTTTAGCTTAAAAGAACTAGCTAAAGACTAATGAGACTAATACTACCCAAACCACAATGCTCATATTTCTTCTCTGTGTACTCACCTCTCTCTATCTCTCTCTATCTAACTCGCCTTTATAGATATATCTATCTCTATCTCTAGCTCGGTCTTTGGCCTGGGGGCCTGACTATTTGCTAATTCCCCCAACCCCGCCCCGCGTACACGTCTGGCAATATGCTTTACGACTTTATAATGCCCGGTTAATTGGGTCAACCAGCTCGATGGGTAGAAAGGGGGTGGGGCCAGGAGAAGGAGGAGGAGTAGAAAGAGGGGTGGAGTCAACGCATGTTTCAAATGTTTGATAAACGCGTTGTGGCATTGCCTCCTGACACCGCTCATACATATTAATGCCAAACGACGACTTTGTTGTATATTGGCTGCCTGGCAGTAGCCAACTGGGTGTTGTTCAAAACTTGGCTAAAAGAACCCACGGAATGGGAATTGGCAACTGGGATATGAAGTCGGGATCCCAAGTTGAGTGGGAGGAAGGAGCGTTGATTGGTGGCTCCCGTCTTTAACTGTCAACTTGGTAATTTAACATGAGGGAAACAACCACAAACAGGAAATTGAATTAGCAAGAAAAATGTTTCTGCTTCATGTCCTACAGTAGGAAAAGGTGAACTAATATTGTAAAACAATTTGTTGTATTTCTGCAATCTGTTTAAAACAGGTTAATAGCCATTTATTGACCAAAAACCAATAAGTAATACTTTTAAAAGCATCAACAAACTCCTTAACAACTTAATAAAATAGCTCAAGATATTGGCTTTTCTTCAATAACTTGCTAGCTAAAACACACACACACCAATTTCGATTGCCCAATCAAATTTGACAATATTTGTAAATGAATTTTCCTGCGTTCGTATTTGGTTAATTTCCAAATTAAGTGCCTCATGTTAGAGGGGCGTCTGCGTTGGGTCGACTTAATAGAAAGCGAAAACTCGACAATTTTCCACAAGTTCCACTACAGCAACAACACCAACTCGCTGGCTGCTAAGCCGCGAAAGTAAATAATCCAATTATCGCACACATGCGCGCCCATAGCATAAATAAAATCATTTGATAAGACAAGCCATAGACCAAGGAGAGACCGGGAGACTAAAGACTGAAGACGGCAGACTGGAAGACTGAGAAACTGAAAGACTGAAAGAGTGTAGACTAAAGACCGTAGACTAGGCGGGGAAATTGCATAAACATGTTTGGGGAGCCGCTCACTGAGGAAGTAAGTCAGTCAGATGAGAGTCGACTTTGCATTTGAAATATGCTGCATTAATATGCCGATAAATATTTGCCAGCCATCGTGCGACTCTCTTTGGGATCTTCGGCCATATATGTAGCTATATAGCTGGCCAACAACTCAATTAGATGGCCGTCTGGATGATGTTGGAGAGGGAGAGGGGAGGGGGCCTGAAATTAAATGGCATAAAATATTTCCGCGAATGATCATCAGCCGATCCTGATTACGATCGTGATCATCATGGGCACTGACTTTGTGCAACTTTGTCGCTTCTCGAGTGGAGTTTCCCTTGAAATTTCTGAGTTTTTAAGGGATATATAGGGTTGGGGGAGAGCTTATCTTAAAGCTGCTCTTAAAATGATTTAAACTGTAAACAATTTAGTTTATAAAAGAGAGATATTAACCCAATTCCTGAGGTGACTCAATCAAAACTCTGCTTTAGCTTTATGCTTAAGTAAATTTCCTGATTTAAAAGATACTAGGTATCCCTAAGTCGACTCCCCATAGTCCCATCCCCCTTCTGCTTATCCGATCCCCCACCATTCCGTGTGCATTGTGTCAATGTCAGCAATGTCTCTCCATCTTTCCATCTGCGTCTGCGTGGCGTGTCAACAATTTGACAGACATTCATCAGCGTTCGCCACTTTGGAGCTGCCTGTGTCGCATACTCAATCAGCAAAGAGGGGAACTCGAAGTTGGATGTGGAGTTTAGAGTTGTACCCCAAGCTTGGAGTCTTATTCCGAAGTCCCAGTGTGTCATTTATGTGTGTTCGGTGTGGCTTTTGCCTTTGTGCCGCGTGCGCATAATTGATTTTTTCGCGGCGATTCGCTGGTTGTTCGCTGGTCAGCTGCCTGTGTTCTCCTGCTGTCGTTGTCATATTAATGTCAAAAAGATTGCACTTGATCATGAGTTGCGTGTTTGCCAATTTGTACACATACAGACATGGCTGTATGAAGAACGTGGGCTGTTCTTTAGCGGTGGCAGAAGAAGAATTCAAGAATCCCGCTGAAGCTGGAGAATCATCATGAGAAAACCAAGTGAAAGGAGTGCGGAGTGGGCGTTATTTCAACAGCATGGGAAAATATTTTCACAACTCTCGCCACTTGCCTCTCTCGCTCGACTGCCATTTGTAATGGCTAGGGCAAACTGGTTGGGGAAATGAAAAAACAAAAAAAATAAAACAAAAAAACAATAATGATATTGCTAAATATAAACAGACAATTGGCAATATTTATCGATTAAATACCGAAATACCAGGTGGGTCTAGACATCCACTAAAAATAAAACGTGCGTCAAGTATTTTATCGTCGGCGGTCACATGTCTTGCCTTGCTTTTTGTTTTGCATTCCACAGGGCATTACTGACCTAAGCTACCCAAATAATTAATGGGTGTGAATCAGTGTGTCACCTGGCATGGGCAATATAACTTTAAGGGGTTAAGAACCATAAATATTGAGCTATAGGACGGCGTTTATGATGGCTAGATGACTTTGGGTTTTATTTGTTGATTTATAAGTG